TACATATATGTATATATATATATATATATATAATATAATATACAATTACTTAAATGTACAATTTTATATTTGATATTTAAACATTTCTCGTGCATTTTAATTCGAATTATTAACTATTTACATTTTCTCTGTTTTTTCCAGATTCTAATGTTTTAAACAAAATAAGTTTGTTTTTTCTATTCCATTATTTATTTTTCCAAAATAATTTTTACTCATATAGAACGGAAAGTCGATGTATAAATTTCATCCATATTTTTAAATCTCTGATTTTAAAGTACGACTAAGTCACTTAAATTGTTAATGTATTCACATCCCTTCATTTTTCTTTAAAACTTCAAATCAACCCTCTCTTTTGTTTACCTTAAGTCATTGCTTAAAGTAATATTTTCCAATATTTATTGGGTGCAAAATTTTCTTATGTTATGGATGAAAGAACATACAACATTTAGTTAAACTGTTTAACATTATAAGGAAAGGAAAAAAAAGCTGTTTGCGACAGCTTTCTTTTAATTAACATTATATTTCGTTTCGTGAAAATCTTACGAAATGTATCTTATTAAAGATTTGTTCCTTTTCTATTTATTATTAAATAAAATGACAAAAAAACATTTTATGTTCCTAATTTTGGGCAATCGTGTTAGTAAATACTATTGTCAAATCAGTTGAAAAAGTTTCGTTTTTAAATATTTAATTACATATCTAGTCAAGAAATATCTTTTTACTTCTTCAGAAGAATTTCAAGAGAAACTTTTCTTTTTTTTCAGAAATTGTTCTTTTATTAAACAGAATTCAGTAATTTATTCCCTGATAAAAAATTTAAAGAAAACTCCCTAGATTTAGTTTTAATTTTCCTAGATTGATATATTGACAAATTTTTCTTTAACGAAGATTAATTTCTTTAAGTAATAATTTTTTTAATAAAATTAATTTTGTTAGTTGCATTGCAGGATAAAAACAGCTGTTTGTGTAAATTTTTGGATTCATATGTAATATTTTAAGAAATGACTATAATTACTTTTCACTGTGGAGTATTGATAACATGGGATTGATTATCCGGGATAATCCGATAGGATTGTTAGGGTAGATCGCACATATAGGAATCTTAGGGTAGATCGCACAGGCAGGAATGTTAGGGTAGATCGCACAGATAGGAATGTTAGGGTAGATCGCAGAGACAGGAATCTTAGGATAGATCGCTCAGACAGGAATCTTAGGGTAGATATCACAGATAGGAATCTTAGGGTAGATCGCACAGACAGGAATGTTAGGGTAGATCGCAGAGACAGGAATCTTAGAATAGATCGCAAAGACAGGAATCTTAGGGTAAATATCACAGATAGGAATCTTAGGGTAGATCGCACAGGCAGGAATGTTAGGGTAGATCGCACAGACAGGAATGTTAGGGTAGATCGCAGAGACAGGAATCTTAGGATAGATCGCTCAGACAGGAATCTTAGGGTAGATATCACAGCTAGGAATCTTAGGGTAGATCGCAAAGTCAGGAATCTTAGGGTAGATATCACAGATAAGAATCTTAGGGTAGATCGCACAGACAGGAATGTTAAGGTAGATATCACAGACAGGAATCTTAGGGTAGATCGCAGAGACAGGAATCTTAGAATAGATCGCAAAGACAGGAATCTTAGGGTAGATATCACAGCTAGGAATCTTAGGGTAGATCGCAAAGACAGGAATCTTAGGGTAGATATCACAGATAGGAATCTTAGGGTAGATCGCACAGACAGGAATCTTAGGGTAGATAGCACAGATAGGAATGTTGGGGTAGATCGCACAGATGGGAATGTTAGGGTAGATCGCACAGATAGGAATCTTTGGGTAGATCGCACAGACAGGAATCTTAGGGTAGATAGCACAAATAGGAATGTTAGGGTAGATCGCACAGACAGGAATGTTAGGGTAGATCGCATAGATGGGAATGTTAGGGTAGATCGCACAGATAGGAATGTTAGGGTAGATCGCAATTTTTGCAAACCTCCAGCATCGCTCTTTCGGACCTTAACGTACTTTATGTCTGTTACCGTGAATGACTGAAATCAAGAGAATGTCGAATTTCACCGGTGAATGTCGATAATCACATAGTTACTTTGGTGAATGTTGAAAATATTTGTCGTATCTGATTTTATATTTATTTATTCATTGATTTATTTATTCGTTGTACTATCTGATACATATTCGAAAATTTAATATCTGCTGAGGATAGATTAGGAGAAACATCGGTGTTCGGGGAATCCGTTAAATGTCTACTGGGTAGTGGCACTTGACCTTAAAAGAACACTGATGCAGGGCATACCGGGCAATGGCATACCGGGCAGTGGCATTGAACCTTACAAAAACATAAGTTTAGGGTATACCGGGCAAATGCATAAGGTGTAGTGGTACCTAACTAGACATAGTATATATGTAGGACATTTACCAAAGCGATTATGTGATTGTAAACATTCACCCGTGAAAGTCAACAACCACCAAATTCGGTCTCATACACAGTAACATATCCATTATTCAAATGAAGTTTTATAAACTGCAAAATATCTAGAAACCATAGTATAATACAATACAACGAATTAAAAATTAAGAGGAACACATCAGAAAAATTATGTTATTACATAAAGCAATTTTTCCAAATGGATTAAATATTATAATTCAACAAAAAAAAGTCTAACAATTGTTCTATTTTTAATTTCAAAAAACAAGCGTACAAATACATAAAATTGGAGTTCACCGTGTAAAAGACCATCTTCTAATTGTGATGATATTAATATAAATTTTATTTCAGACGATTAAAAATATTTCAATACACAATACAATATTAAATCGATCAAAGACGTTGTTTTCCCCTTTAAGTATAATAAATCGATTAATTGTTCTCTCAAAAAAATTTACATTCTAATTTATAACACTTTATAGAAGTAGAACATTTCTTCAAAATATTTACACCGAAAAAGTGTAGTTTTGGTAAAAAATCTGTAAAATTAATTTTCTTAATATTTTCTCACTTATAAATTATGTGTCACTGTTTTAAGAGTGTACTTTTGTTTAAAATATAAATTTCTCAGAAGAGAAGTTCATTTTTTAGTAGCCACCACAAACTCAACTGTAATTTTAAACATTGCGAAGGGTAATAAACCAGCAGATGCATCCATTTTTTAAATTTTTTTTCAACCCTAATTGATAATTATCCTGCCTTTATTACTTCATATTTTTTTTAAAACTTACAAGAAACATACAAATCGATTTATAACAGCATTTTTATTGCAATCTTTCAAACAGAATCGAAAGATAAATCTTAATAATCTTGTAAAATATCCTACGAATGCAGCAAGTTTATTTGTAACAAGTCATTTAATATTCATTGTTGTTTGCCAACAGTCGAATCATTTCTCAAGTTAATGCATTTTGTTCAAAATGTTCGGGTAAAACAAAGAATCAACTTCAAAAAGAGTTGAATAAAAGGAGTAAAACTCAATCACAGTTGAAGGGATCTCGTTAATTAACTTTCATTTCATTACCTGGAGGCAGACATTAATCTCTTTTAAAATAATGGAAGGTTTGCAGGTTCATTCATTTTAACATCATCATTTTCTATCCTCGTCTGCTGGTTTTTCGTTAATGTAATCCATAATTATTTTGTTTATTTCTCTTGTATTATTTATGCATGCAGATTTTTTTAATCATATTTATACATAATTTACTTACTCATTTGTATTACTCTACTCAAGTTGTATTGATCCTTTAAGGTATTACTTCCACTTACAGGGTATCTGCTACATTTCAGATTTTCAAATTCATGACTAATTCCAAGAATTTTTCATGATTTAACGAAGTTACTATTTCCTCCGACAAAAACGCAACAATCAATTTTAAAAAAGAGTTATAATAACATTAATTGTAAGATATGTATAGCCAAGTCTGTTACAGTCTGCATCTTCATATTTATAGATTTTAAATTTAATAAAAAATAGTAATGAAAGAGTTAAACCAATAAAATACAAAAAAATACAAAAGCATTTTTTTTGCATAATTATATGATAAAGATACTTTTCTTGATTATCGAAAGGAAGGAAATACTCCTGATTTTTTTCGTTCTCATTTCGGAATTAAAAAAAATTCGCCAATGACTGGCTTGCTTCAGCTAGAATTTCAAATTGATGAAATAAAAATAAATAATAACAAAAATTCTGAAATCACGGAAGTTTAAAAGATAATTCGCTCTAGAAATGATGTTTTGTCTTTCAATTTTTATAAAAACGCCATAATTTTTAAGGAACATGATAAAAACATTTTATATTTTAATCAAATATGACTGTGACTGGGGATTTTGTTACAAATTCAGATATTTGGAACACCATGAAGTTGGATGGGGAGATAAATTCCATTTTAAAAATTAGATTTTATGGGCGACCTAAATCCATGACTTTTCATCTGATTTTTTTTAAAAAAAAAGTAGTTAAAATTGTGACATTTCATGACAAATTTTGTTCAATACCGAAATTTATGACTTTCTTAGTGGGCAGATACCCTGCACTTAGTTATCAACGTTTTTTTTTGCCTATACTAGGTAACATTACTCGTTCTTGCTACGGAATGAAAAAAGCATTAGTAACATCATGGAATCGTGTGCAAGATATAAAAACAGAAAAAAAAACTGAGACTATTGAAGGAAATAAAATAAAATACTATCTTTATTATCATTTAGTCCTTTTATGGTTAAACTAGCATGATACAATTTTTAAAAAAAATTAATTTATCAGGAAAAAAAATATCACCGCAGCTCATTGTGAACCGAGAATAATGCTATTGATCGAGATCGAGTAAGATTTACCACAACCAACCAGATGTAAGCAAGCAAGATGAATTTGCGCTCAATTACAAACGAAAAATTGTGTTTTTGAACTCACTATGCCAAAAAATCTAAGAATAAATTTACAATTTGTAACTATTACTTTGGTTATTATATGCAATAATTGCACAAAATTTCGTAAACCTAGCTTAGATATTTAGGAAGATATTGACATTTTTATAAAAACTTTTTTTATTTATTTATTTATTTATTTTGCTGTGGAGACCAAGCTATGGGGACCATATTAACCAGATTGCGGCCACCCCTTATATTCTGGGGGTTAGAAATCCAAATCTGTTGAAAAAAAGGTATGTAAGTTTTTGCGTCTGTTGTTGTTGTTGTAGTTCATTTACGTCGCACTAGAGCTGCACAATGGGCTATTGACGATGGTCTGGGAAACATCCTTGAGGATGATTCGAACACATGCCATCAGAATTTTGATCCTCTGCAGAGGGTATGGCACCCCCGCTTCGGTAGCCCAACGGCCTGCACGCGAAGTCGAGCATTTTACGGTTGCACAGTTTAACAAAGACCCATACCGCACACCCTCGGTCCCTACGCAGACTGATCCAAGTGGTCACCCACCCGTACACTGACGCCAGCCAGTGATGCTTGACTTCGGTGATCTGTTGGGAGCCGTGTCTTAACGATCAGTCCACTGCAAGACCGTTTTTGCGTCTGATTTTGTAACTTAATATATGATGAGCACTAATTAATTAGCATAAATTAGTTACCCGCTGGAACCATTGTGTCCCAGTACGCGAAGATCCGATCATTAGATCAAAAGTTATTCAGGGTGGTCCGTCTTTTTTTTCCCTTTATAGCGCACTGTACATATGATTACCTTGTTGAAAAAATATTTAATCATCGAAAAGCTATGTAACTGTAAACCGTTTAACGGTATTTGGTGATTTTAACTCTTTTGATTTCAATAAACGCCACGGATCGGGCTTTAGTGGTCTCTCGGCCACCCGGTACCATTTAGGGCCTACATTACCTATCCTGAGGGGTCTATCGCTGTGTCGAGTAAATTTTTCCGGGAGAGTGGTTCAGAGGTTTATAGCTTAATCGTTTAGAGTGGAGGTGTTACTAATAGTGTGAAAATTTTCGGGAAGTAGTTTGAATATTCTTTGGCGAGAAAATAAGGGCCTTTGTAAGTATGTTTATAGGTTTGAAGAAAACAGTTCCAAATACAAATTATGCATGCGAAAAAGTTTTATTAAGTGAAAATCAAATCGACTATATTTAGGGTTTTACACGCGGTAATTGGGTATTTGCACTTCAAGAAGAAAACCTCCCAAAACACACACGTGACCTATGACGTCAGCGGCAGCTAATATTTATCAGCAAGATGGCGTACTAAAGTTGAGCTAAGTTTCTCTACGTCAGTTAGAATGCTAATTAACGATAAGTTAATTCAATACAGAGCAGTATCGCACATAGAATTAGTTAAAATATAATTCTTTCTCGTCTGCTTGTTTTACTTAACTTAGATTTATTATTTATTTACGTATTTTATTGTTACCGTCATGTATTTTTGTTTTGTCTGCGCCTAGCAACTTCGATGCATAGTTAGTTTGTTTATGTTCCATATGGCTTCGTGCCTGCCTAGGTGTTACTAGAAAATATATAGTGAAAGAATTTAAATCCTTGAGAACGAATCTTAGTGAAAGAAATTAGAATGATTCACTTAAAAAAATTGATACTTGACGGGTTTGGCTTACTCGAAACAGAACGGAAAAAAACAGTTGCTAACGTAAACAAATTCCAAGCTTCAGAAACCAATCAGGATTGAGATACCCACACAACGTCACTTGAAGGTATCCCTTTAATTATCTTACATTTAAAATAATTATCTAATATCTCTAATAAATCGAGAGAAAAAAACGCTTTTGATATCAAAATACATTTATGTGACTATAATTTTATTTTGAACAGTGTAACATTCGTATGTAATTTTCATTTTAGGACAGTTGAAATTAGTGAGCGAAACAACTGAGATTTTAAGTTACCAAAAAAACAATTCTATTCCAGCAATTCCAAAGGACAAAGATTTTAAAATAATTTAAAATAATAAGCAATAATTTTTTAATTGTTTTATGTAAATGCGATTTTTTTCCCGCCAAACTATAAGCCCTGGAATTTTAATTTTCTTTTGAAAACATGTAATCTTGTGTCAGAAAAGGAAAAATGC